GTTTAAACAGTGTTGAAGAAGATGCTGTGAACATTCTCAAGTTGTAATGGTCTTCCAGTCAACTTTGGAGTTAAATGAACATCTGAGAAACAAAGAAAGGTTAAATTTAAGATTTGAATAATCTAATCTGACCTACTGTTTAGCCTTTTTTTTAATGTTCTGCCAGGTTAAGACCTTAAAACTTGATGGACAAAGATCAAGCACTGATTGTGTCCCATTACAAACAACAACCAAGTGTGGAACAAGCGTAAAGGTAACTGGATTTTGGAGGGAAATTGGCATTTATTTGGATACAAATGTAAAAAAAATAATAATAATAACAAAAAATAACAAAAAAACCAAACAAAAAATGCAAAAAACAAACAAACAAAAAATAACAATCAAACAGTAAAAGAACCTTCAGGCTTCAATTCCAGATCTTCAGAAAACTGTCCCAGGATCCTGTTGCAACTGCCATGCCATCATCAGTAACTCCCAGGCAGCTAACGCGGTTGTCATGTCCAGCCAACACACCTATAAGCAATCATAATTGTCATTTAGTTAACAGTAGCGCACTAAGGAAATACAGGTGACATCAATTTGGATGTTACAAAGTGGTCTTGGGATTTACCAACAGCAATACTAACCAGCACGATCAGCTTTTAGTGTGTCCCACACATTGCAGTTAAAGTCATCATATCCTGCCAGAAGAAGGCGGCCACTCTTTGAGAATGCCACAGAGGTGATGCCACATATGATATTGTCATGAGAATAGATCATTAATTCCTGATCAGCACGCAGATCGAACAGCCTGCAGGTGGCATCATCAGAGCCCGTGGCAAAGGCATTTCCATTAGGGAAAAACTGAAAGTTCCAAAAACAGAAATAATTATTGTCCAATTATTGATTGAAATAACAAACAGGAAACAAATTTAGCAAGCAAAACACTTGTATTTACATGTGTATGGAACTTACACAGATGGCATTAATGTCAGACTCATGGCCAGTAAATGTCTGTCTGCACATGCCCTCTCGAACATCCCAGAGTTTAGCAGAGGCATCACAAGCACCAGAGACAAATAACCTTGAGTCAGGGGCGAGTGACAGGCTCATGACATCACCGGTGTGTCCAGCAAATGTGGTTGTCTGCTGGCCAGTCTCAATGTCCCAAAGTGCACTGTGAAATAAAGGATTTAGAATCAGTTTGCCTGTTGTCTAGCACGTTAACCACTCATTAACGGAACTCAATGTCATCTTTTCACTCACCAAGTGGTATCTCCAGAGCTTGTAACAATCTGGTTGTCATCAAGAAAGCGACAACAGGACAGGTATCCTAATATTGAGAGTCAATAGAAGTCATTAATACACAAGTGAAAGACAAATGTAGAACTAGCAGTGCACATTTAACCCCTACTTGCAGTTATGGCTGATCAGCAATTAGCAGTAAATAGATCAGTTATTTAAAATTCATTGAAAATTAAAATAAAAAAAAAAAAAGGCTAACACAAATTTTTAAAGCAACATACACCTTATCATGCCACTGTTTTGTTGAATCCAACTATAAGTTAACATAGACAATATGGCAAAAGAAGCATGTTTTTAACTGATACTTTGCTATTTGAGAAGACATTTACAACCATTTACCTGTATGTCCAGCGAGCTCACGGCTCACACGTACATTCCCCTCACGTGTTTTCAGGTTGTAGATGGAACAGATGTTATCTAAGCCACCACAGGCCACATAGTTTCCTGAAGGCGCATATGCGCAAGTCATGACCCAGGAAGATCGAAGTGGAATGGCATGAACCTATAGAGTAACAAACACACATGCACAGGTACTTAAGTTCCATTTTGTCAAAGAAACGAAATCTTTAAAATAGGATTACATACTTTTTGGAGAGCAATGTTACAATAACTAAATTTGGCATTTAAACAATAACGCACAACAATGTCAGTTTGCCTTTATAAAGCATAAAATAAATGTCAATACTTATTTATACAATTTAGAAAGTACTGCAACTCCTTCACTTTTTACACTTCAAAGTTTCAAGCAACAAGTATTCAGACCCTTTGCTATAGCACTCAACGCTGTAGTCAGCTGTGTCCTGCTGGATATAATGTGTCCTTAAAATTTGTGTGTAGGGCTTCAGTAGAGTTGACCTATGTCAAAATTATTGGATTAAACAGTTTAGAAAGTCCTGCAAGGAAGACAATCATGTCAGCAAGTCATCAAAAAGGTCTTTATAGTAGAGTAGTTAGACAGAAGCCAAACACAAGGTTCCTTTAAGAGAAAAGAAAGAAAAAAATCTCCAGAGCGCAACAACCTGACTGCAGCAGTGAACCAAAGCTTACAGCAAAGAACGCTCTGGTGGCTTGCTGACAAGTTTCCAATGGTTTCTTCGAGGACAAGCCAAGGCCTGAAATTTAAACTGAACAAAAGATGTTTCTAAACAAAAAAACCTGCCAAATTCTTTTCAAGTATAAACTATAAAAATAAGCTATTTTGAGGTACTGCCAGATCACAAAGTAAGTTCTTGTGACCCAAGCTACAACTCAGAAGAGGCTGCACTGTTGAGATATTAGACAGCATCCTGTAAAAATCACGGCCGTAATTTTTCCATTTCAATGGAAACATGATATCAGTCAATAATGCTTAGGGACACCATAATGCAACAGCTTAATTAAACAGAGGATGAAATAACCAGTCTTGCATTAAAGTATCCCATAAACAAATCAAACCTCAAGCTACCCTTTAATGTTTGAAGAATTACCCTTTAATCTTTTTATTACCAGCTGGATCATTGTCCACCGTATCACGTTAAATTATATTACCCCAAAAGGTTCTTCAGTATCCCAAACAAGTCAGAAAGCTTTTTAAGGATCCCGAAGAAACTTCTGTCTTTGGTGGAGAAGCCAGATTACCTTTTAGGCATTAAAACAGTGTACTCATTCCTCCGATATCAACAACTGCACACCAGACACATCAGCCTCAGGGGAAAGGGCACAAATGCCTTTTGCTCAGCTGATCTGCAACACTTTTAAATATAAGTTTTCCCTCTTTTCAATTCAACATATCCTCATAGGTTCAAAAAAAATTGTTTTATCCCATAAAGAAGTACAACATAGTACAAAAGGAACAACTTAAAAGGTAAACTAAATGTATATAGTTTTATTAATTTCAAGATCGCTTTTAGTATCCAATCTATGTAAACATTTTAAAACATCAGCATGAAGATGACCGCACTTTTTTTTTTGCGCTTTGTAAGGCTGTGTTGTTATTACCTGTCAACTAGATTAAACACAAGATTTGCCCATTATTCCATTAATCCTCATTATAAAATAATAATGAAGAAAATTACCTTATTTGTGGTATAGCTATCCCAAATAATAAGTTTGCCATCTTGAGAGGCACTGACCAAGAGCCTACAAAAAAGAAAAGAACAGTAACATGAACATCACTAACACAGTATCCAGAGGTTGTCACGCATCTATTTTTATCCAGAGTTAAAAACAACTAGAAAAATATGCAGAAACTGCTGAAAGACACAAAGTTCACTATGCTCCACAAATCATATTCTGGCCGTTAGGTTTTACCTAGAATCTGTTCCCCAATGCATGGCATATATTTTAGCCAAATGGCCCCGCAGCGTTCGTCTTGTACGCATCTGGATTCGCCCAACGGGGTCAATGTTAGCTGTGATCTGTAAAACATTAAGTGCTATAAGGTTAATTTCCCATCAAATGCTTTTCAACCCAAACACTATGAAAAGTTAAATGTTACCTGTGATAGTGTGGCATCTGCACATGCTTTCCTGGCATCCTGAGGAGATAAACAAAAAAAAGGGGGGGGTCAACACTTTGGTCAGACATTTTCCATCTCACACCAGTCTCGACTGGAAGGGCTGTCAGATTTTTCAGAATAAACATCTGTATGCTTTTATGTGGTGAAGTGATACTTTGTTACTCACTCTGATCTGATTCTTGAGCTGCTCTGCCTCTTGGCGTAACTGGTCCAGTTCACTCATCTTATTCTGCTTTTTCAATTACCTTACTCCAGCTACCACGGGCACTTGTTGCTCTAAAAAAAGCAACAAAAACAAAGGAAATATGAGGCACTTTAATCTTTCAAGCAAACCATTTTAAAATCAAAGCTGTAATGAAGACAAACGCAAAATGGGTCTGAACACAGCTCACAGACCTGCAGTGGATAAAGATTTTCACTGAGATTGCCATCAATTCGATCAAAACAAAAAAAATAAAAATAAATAAATAAATAAATGCTTACCTACAATATATCTGATGTGCAGTTCATGCTTCAACCTTACTTTCCAACCTCAATGTCACCAGCTAAATCCTGACACACAATTCATATTGCCAGACAAATCTTGTTAACGCATGACTTTCCAGTGATCCGAAAAGCAGTCATTATCCTGTTGACCTCAATCCCTGGGATACTCAGAATTTCAGTGATCAATAAGCCACTTATATTAATACAGAGCCTCGAGGCACACTCAAAGTTCAGCTAATAAAATATATACATATTAATTTTACTGATGAGATAGATAGATCTATCTATCTATATATGCATTTAGCATGACAGATTCATCTACCATTTTAATTTCTGTTATGGTTGGGACATTTGTTAACTGTCCATTTCAGTAACGTCCACGTCAGCATACTTAGAGTAACGAAAAGTAAGGTTTTCCTAAGGTAGAAGAATGAAACACCTAAAAGATGGCTGCAATCAACAGGTAGGAATGGATTTATGAATATAGTATTGAATTTAATAATAAGGTCAGTAGGAGGATTATTAGTTGGACAAATGTTCTTATACTGACTCCAGTTATCCTGCAAGACAAATAACCTTGTGGTAAGATCCATCTAATGAATTATGAAAGAGCAGTGAGCAAAACTACTTTACAAAACTAACCTGAAGCTGCACACGGGACATCTCTTTGCATTTAAAATGGGAAACAGATACTTCTGTATTGAACTGCAAAGAGTAAATAAGTTACCAACCTAAAATGGAGAAAACACTCTCAGTTTTGACCAAATGTAAGATCAGCCATAATTTTCTACAGATTCAGGAGTTATTGTATTGTTAGGATATGTGAACGCTTGGAAGCCAAATTCTTTCTAAAGAATTGTAACTTCCTTCTATTATACTTATACTGAAGACGACAGTCACAAAGTTAAACTCAGAATTTTTACTTGTTACACATGTAACAACTTAAAAGTGAAAAATAAATAACATTACCAAACCTAATTAACCCAGAAATTAAAAACAAAATGTAATACAGATTTAAATATGATTGTAAAGTTACTAAGGATCAAGTTAACTAGCACTGCCCTACCAGTTACCTTACCTTGTGTTTTTCTGTCAGCTCACCTATGTTACTGGAAGTTGCAGGACAAGACTGAAAGTCTTCTCAACCTTATCTACACTATCGTTTAAGTTGTCTGACTGGTTGGCCTTTCTAACTCAAGTTATCCTCTTATCCTCATTAATCTTATAATAAATGTGTCATGGAACGTAATCATGATTAAGCATCATCCAGTGACAGCAGGATGCCATTCTCACCTTGAAAACCTCTTAAAACATAATTTTAAAACTATATTCCCAACTTCTCTCAATCTGAGAAAAATAAAAGAACTAATAATTGAAGTTAGAAATATTTACTACACCAATGTAGTTTCCTGTCTTAACTTTACGTATAATTAATCCCATGAACTCAAAAATAAAACATAAGAGTTTTTATTTAGTACACAGAGTTGGAAACAACTACAGAAAAAGGAGGTTAGATAAGTAACTCTGCCTGAATTTGAACTTTTCCAATGAATTTAAATTAAATTATTTTAAGTTAAACTGATGAGTATCGATCACAACTATGAAAAGCTGTTAGTTTTAAAGTGCTACTCAATGCTCAATGTTTTAAATTCAAACTTGAGTCAGATGAAATAAGACACCTAAATCTTTTTTGTTCTTTTTTAAATGCCAAATTCCCCAAAAAATAAAAATAAATTCCAGTGGCAAATATTAATGTGGAATAGCCTGGAGTCCTGTTATAAATCTGAGTTTTAAATATTCTACATTCAGAAATTTAAAAAATAAAATAAAAATTCAATCTTGTTGACCTCTGTGGATGCTTACAGTTAAGGAGTTCCTCTCCCTCATCACTTCTCCTTTCCAAGCGCCTGATCAGGGTCAGCTGACTGCATGATAAACAATGAGCAGTGGCAAACAGCCTGAAGTTGCAGCTCACTAGTTTTCAAGTCCCTTAACGGCAGATTGTGTCTGCTATTTTAGGTGTCTTCTACATTTTCAGTTAAATGTGTATGTTTCACTAGATAAACAAACATTTGTTCTCAAGAACATACCGGCTTATCTGTACTGTTAAATAATAATAATAATGCAATGTTTCACAGGTCTAAAGCTGGATCACAGAAAAAGCCATAACCAGCAGTATCACTGAGCAACTCCATAATCCTAAAAGCTAAAATCCTCAGTCAATGAGTCTCTAATCCTATCCATGTCCACTAATGTAAACAGCTGGCAAAGCCTGTCCAGGCATTAGAAATATGTTTTTCCAATCATAAAAGGATGAGATTAATCTTAATTCTTTTACACACAACTAATCCAGGCACTTATTTTGAGAAATTGCCAGGATTTTCAGCTTCCAATGACATCGCAACCATATTACAGATCCTCTCATGCAGTTGTGACCAGATACAAGTAGGACTCCTTTCTGAAGGAATCCAGTAACATACAATTTCAAAACACTATTGGTAGTTTTAACAACAACTACTTTTGTGACAGAAACAAAATGTACTAGTATAAATCAACAGCATGAACTAACGTGTTTGTGTGCAAAGCTTTAACCAACAGTGTATGAGTTGTACTGATAGTTGACACAGACATTGTGTGCAGTACTGTGATTTGCCTACAACAGTCACAATGATATCATTTGCATTGGACTTTGCGTTGCATTTGAATGGCTGCCGGATAGCTGTTTTAACCCCGCTTTTGGTTTGAATTTGTTTAGTAGGTTACTCTGCAGAGGCTGCACGCACATTTCAGGAGGAAATTACACGCAATTCTGCACAATATGGTGGCAAAAATACTGAGTGCTGCACAGTGTAAAGATAATATGACTTCCACAGAAGATGCAGCTAAACGCCATCTTGCAGACTGCTGTCCGCTAGTTAGCTTGCTAGCAAGCTCGACAGAGTAGGCCGGCAGGCAGGGCAGAGCTAATATTCAAAAAATTAAAGTCACCTTATTAAGAACAGTTACACACAAGGGTTAAAAATGCCTGGAAATAAGCAGAGTCAATGTAACGCAACACTCGCAAAATTTCATAACACGCGAACCAAATAGCCAGAATTATCAAATGCAAAATAACGTAACCACAGTCACTTCAGGGAAGACTCCGCCGCTCTTCCGCAATTATACAGGGTGCTATGTAGTTAGCTTTTAAGCAACAGTGGGTAAACCAGAAAACTGGCTTGTGGATTGGCCTTCGGAGATCCACTTACTTACATACTAACAATCTTGTTAAACGCAGTACTTCCAAGTTAATTTGATTACCACGTAAATTTATTTGGTCCTTTTAATCTTGCAGCAGACGGAGGGAGGGGGAAGACTGTAAAACTGCAAGGTCGGGCGGCGATGGCCTGTTTTACTCCAGCAAGCGACAAATGCAAGAAGAAAAAAGGGGGGGAGGGAAGGGGGGCTGGGTGTTTTTCATAAAGCAAATGACCTTTCAGAAAATAAGCGAATACAGAAAGAAAAAAGAAACTAAATCCATGAAACCTGCAAGGTAGCTGGCTGTTGATAAGTAATGTTCCCAACACGAGTTAAGGCGTTGCATCGACGCGGCCGTTTTGTTGCAGACAGGCACCGATATGCTAACTTATTTGCTCGGCTGGTAAAAACAGGGTGTAAACGCGGCAATGGCATTTACGTTAAATAAGTGTTGCAATTTAATCCACAGAAGCGTGCGCAGAGTTAACAAGTGATGCTATAACCCACTCTTTTTAATCACAAGAAAAACACTGTTTGCTGTTATTACGGGACGTTTATTGTTCCAGCCCAACCCAGTATGTCATCATCAACTGACAAAATCTTTAAATATACCTTTTCGATTATAATGTAAGTCAGTGCAATCAGTGAAGCTTCAAATTTAAGCATGATTACTGCAGTTGTCTCTTATATCATATGGTTATCAATGCATTTTATATAAAGAAGCACCTCCGCTGGGCCAACATTATTACTCAAACGCCAGCCAGAAGCTTCCGCCGACATTAATTGTAGCTAACGTTGCCCAGATGCTTGGATACTAGTTAAGTTCTGTCATTTAATTTGCAGCTAATACTCTACACCGGGATCCACCGATGCAAACACTCTTATGGCAAAATAGCCAACTTAATGCTAGCTAACCCCTGCTAACTAGAAGGCTAGGCTACTGCTACCCCACCCCCGGGCAGTTCAATTCCGCCACAATTCATTAGCTAAAGGTAGAACAGTTACAATTACAGCTCTAAAAGCAGTGTGCTGGTCGCTTCATTTTGCCTTACCTGATTCAATTTGCGCCTGTTTTTGAGTTTGGGCATTGACTGGAACACGGGACGGTGTGTATCTCCGATCCACGCATCAACGAACACCACAACGCTAGCTTACTAACTAGCTTAAGCCAGCTAGCGTAGTTTTCCGAGGAGTAGCCCTTCCCGAACGCAGGCTACGGCTGGGGGAGCTTGACAACCTCAGTCAACCAACCGGAGAGGGGAGGGGACGGAGAGGGGGGAATCACACCCACTAAAGCCCTTTAATGAAGGCACTGCCCAGGCAGATAAAAAGCCAATCTTTAAATTCACTAAAGCTCACCCAACAAGACAGCCTACTGTCTCCCTTTTGCCGAGCTTAACATCTGCCCTTTCCGTAGTAACACTCTTGTCCGGCCACCGAGCAATGAGATGGGCGCGGTAACCCTGCAGTCAGCGCTGGGAAACCCCACGTTGCAGCAGAGAGGGAGAGAGAACCTTCGATTGGAGTTCTATAACTGGAGATGCTACAATTATCATCAGCCCCCTTGCAGCGACGTTTAGCACGTCTAATTTTGTACACGCGTATTTAATTCGAGCACAATTTACAGTTTAAGAGAGCACAGTGTTTGCTTATGTTCTCAGCAAAGGAGCCTAAGTTAAAGATCGAGTAAACAGGGCCCCAACTTCGCTTCTAAAGTAGGAAGTGGTAATCATGATTTCAGTACAGTACTGTGGGGGGGGGGCGGTAATTTGCTCCCTTCCCGATTTCTTAGTTTTTCGTATATTTTCCACACTTGTTGATAAAATGCACTTTATTTTAATGATTATTTCATTTATTAACTGTGAAAGAAGATATCCAAACCCTGTGGCCCTACATGAAAAAAATATTACCCAGCTACTTCCCTAAATCCCCTTTGTGAAATCATGAATTAAGTAAGTGAGTGACCACATTTTTTTTCTTCTAAAAACTGAGTCGATTTCAGGAGCTACACCCAGGCCTGATTACTGCCAGACCTGCAGAATCAACACATCAAGTAATTAAATAGCAAGCTAAAAGGTCTCAAAAGCAACCCAAGAATAGATGATAAAGCCACTCACATCTATCATTCTGGGTTACAAATCCATTTCCAAGGTTTTTTTTCCCAGTCAACCACGGTGAGGGCCATTATCCACAAATTAAGAAAACGTAGAACAGAGGTGAACCTTCCCATGAGTGGCCGATCTGTCAAAATTACTCCATGAGTGCACCAACGACTCATCCAGGAGGTCACAAAGAACCCATTACAACATCTAAAGAACTGGAAGCCTCAGTTATTGGACTTAAGGTCAAACTTCATGATTCAAAATAAGAAAGCAACTGGGGAAAAAACACTCACAAAAATTGTAGCTACTGAGGTAATGATTACTTTTTCAACATATGCAGCGATGCAATGCAATTTTCTGCTGAAAAATCTTGTTGGTGAGCATATATATCAATGCTACTTTGATTGCACCAGCAGCCAAAATGCTCTTGCAGAGTGAGTATACACACCCTAGCAAAGACACAATGACATAGCTGCTACTTGACCCTGCCTCAACATTCCATGAATCCCTAACTGATAGTAGGTAGGGAAGATTTTTTTTTCCAGGGGGCCGCACAGGCTTAAAAAATCCAAATGAAAAAGTTGTTATATACATTTTAAATTAGCCTACATCTTGCCAGTTGTATGATATGTACTACTGCATAGGTCACTGATTTAAAAATTAAAAAAAAACAGCACTGAATTAAAATTAAATAGCTGTGTGGACCCAGTGCAGTCATTCACCTCAAGATTCGTTCATCAATGATTACACTCTGATTTCACTGCCATTTGTTTTGCTTTTCTCTTAGGACACTGGGGGTTAGATTGAGATGGTTCAGGGCTGATCCCTGCCCTCGAGCATTATTTTACCC